GCACCTAGTGCGGCAGCCTCACTTGTCCTAGTGCCCGGGTCGAGCGGGACACGCAGGTAACAGTCACCCTCTCCACTAGCAGACAACACATACATGGCACCAAGGATAACATCAAAGTCAAGAGCATAGACATCAATGTTCTTTTTGATCAGATCAAACCAGCGGGGCAGCTCAGTAGCAGCAGGAAACTGAGTGCGCCAGGCGTCGTCGAGGCGAGAGAAGCAGCGCTGCTGGGTGTGCGCCCTCCCACACGTCTGACCAGTGCGGTCACCTGTGCGGATGACGTATGGGCAGCTAAGGCCACCCCCCCCACGCTGAGAGTACCACTCACGAAGCTCCTGGGGCGACAGGGTATGCTGCTGGCGCTGGCCACCGCCAGAGCCTCCACGAGCTCCACTGCCGCCGCCGCCACCACGACCACCACCGCCACCACCGCCACCGCGTCCACTGCCACCACCACCACCGCCCCAACCCCGGCCACCTCCTCCACCACCACCGCCACCACCGCCACCGCGTCCGCTGCCGCCACCACCCCCGCCGCTGCCGCCACCACCCCCGCCGCTGCCACTGGCCCCTCCAGCCCCGCCACCACCCCCACCGCCGCCACCGCCCCCACCACCGCCTCCCCCATCATCACTGCCGCCCCCCTTGCCCCCTTTGCCCTTGCCGCTGCGGCGCCACGTACTCGCAGTGGACGCAGTCCCGACCTTCTCAGCACCAAGAAGGTCGACAGCAGCAGCAGAGGCGACAGAGGGGAGAAGAGGGGAGGGGGAACACCCCTCGAAGAAAGGGGTGCGGGGGTCGCCGCGAGACGCACCGACAGCGACTATGCTAGTCTCAGCTGCCAGCAGGTGCTTCTCAAGCAGGTCAATGGTGAGCTCGGTGGGGCAGAGAGCAAGGAAGTGGTCCCTGACCGCACGAAGGGAGTCAGGGAGACGGGTGACCAGGTGGTAAAGAGTGAGCCACAGCGGGGGGGGGGTTCTTGGCAAGAAACTCAGCGGGCAGAGCAGCACGGAAGCGGATCTCACTAGTGCGGAGGTGAGTAATGAGGCCAGCAACGGTAGAGAAGGTGGACAGGTCTGGGAACAGATAGGGCAGTGAGAGGCGGCCTAGCGAAGCAGAGGCAGGCGAGGAGTAACGCGCAACTACAGCAGTGTACAGTGACTGAGCAGTCTTCTGCTGGCTAAAGTGCTCGCGTTCATCTACCGGCAGGGAGTTGCGAATGGCGAAGCGAGAGTGGGCGTCACGAGTCTGCCACTGTGAGCGGGCAGTACTGTCAGCAGTCGCAGCAGGGGCAGGAGCGAGGCCTAACGCATGGTCATACAGTGAAATATCCTCCTTAGCAGTGAGCTGGAGGAACAGGTGGAGGTCCTCGAGCCAGGTGTCAAAACGCAGCGGGCGGCCCTCTGCATCGAAAGCTAGCACTGCAGGACTAGCCATAGTTTCAGTAGCAGCAGTAGCAGTAGCAGCAGTAGCAGTAGCAGTAGCAGTAGTAGCAGTAGCAGTAGTGGTAGTGCAGGTGGGGCACAGTAGGGCGGCGCGGCTCGGTTCGGGCGGCGCGGCTCGGTTCGGGCGGCGCGGCTCGGGTGGGGCGGCTCGGCGCGGCTCGGACTAGGCTACGTGGCACGGCGCAACGGTGGGCCTGCGCGTGGGCGGCTGTAGCGGGCGGGCCGCGGCTGTGCGTGGGCTGCAGTCGCGCGTGGGCGGCGGTCTACAAGGGCGACGCGGCGGCCTACGGGCGGGGCTGCGACGCTCTGGACGGCCAGGAGGGCCGGTCGACGGGCGGCTAGTGGGCTGCTCGTGGGCGGCGCTGGTCGTGCGGGCGGCTAACGGTCGGCGCGCGCGCAGAAAAGGCCGCGCGCGGGCTGCTAGCGGGCTACGCGCGCTAAAAAAAAGGCCGCGCACGGCACTAGCGAGCTGCGCACGGGCAGCAGGAGAAGGAGAGGCGCACGAGGGCGCACTACTAGAGAGGCGCTCGAGGGCGCTAAGTCGACAGGGCGCTCGAGGGCGCTTCTAGCGGAACGGTGGGCCCTTAGGTAAGTGGTCCTAGGTTCCTAACCTAGGCTCTGATACCATGTTAGAAAATGAGAAGTGTCTGAACTAGAAAGGAATGGGAGTACAAGTACCAAACCCTAGAGTAGTGTACCCCCTAAAGGCTAACCCACTGTAGCCTACACAACTATAACATATATTATGTTTGACAGTCCCTTCCGATGGGAAAGGTAAGGTTCCGTCGTAATACATCCAGATCTGAGCGGTTGTTCGAGGAGTTCAAATTCGAAGCTCCACGTGTAGAAATCTTTGCCGTCGAATTGAGTTGAGGTCTTCAACTTTGAGGTCAAAAAGAATTTTGTCTGCAGGGTAGCGATTGTTTCTGACTGTACTCGTTGTTGACTGTCTTGTGCAGGAGCTGAAGCTTGACGGTTGTCAAAGGTGAAAGACCTCTCGGAGTTGACGCGGCGGTCTTCTCCAGGGAGAGGGAGTCCAGCAACTCCTCTTGGGTAACTTGAGCCATCGATGCTCATGGCTTGATGGCTCTCAAGAGCGTTGATGCGAGCGACGAGCTGGTGGCTTTTCCTTCGGGAGCCATTGTGATGCAGAGTTGTAGTAGTTTGTAATGAGTAACTTATAACGAGTTTGTTATAGGAAGAACAAGAACTTGACAGGCCTTATAATCCACTCTTGCTCTCATACCATGATGTTATAACTGAAGGATCGTAGTGGACATGATAAGTCTGTCAAGTTTGAGAGAAGACAATGAAGTCTCTGTAATAACCTTGTTAATAAAGTTGAAGGAAAACAAGATGAATATAAGATAGGACAACAAGGGTATAAATAGCAATCCTAGATAGCCATGTACTATGAGGGGCACATTCCCTTATTAACTGAATTGCATTGCTACAGTAACCACGACTATTGCTCTTCTCGACAGTTACCATGTTGCATCGCGTAACTGCCAAGTGCGGTTACTGGATGGTCAAGAGTCACGACCGTTGACAGTCTTCGAATGTGGACCTTCGGGTGACTCTTGATCTTCCGCATGCTTTATATGAGCTATTGCGGTACTGGTACAGACGCGTTGCTTCGTTATGAAGTGACGCGTGAGTGGAGATCCTTCGGGAATGTTACTATAACCTTTCGGTTATTCCAACACTTTCTATTGTTTTAACAAGGTCATATCAATACTTCTCAGTCTTCTTCTGAACTTAGCCAGTCTTATCCTAATCCTTCGATTCTTGTATTAGATCAACACTACTTTCGCTGCACTATATTTCATCAAGTCTAGTCTCTACAAAGATCCTACAGTCAGCAAAAATTTTGGTTATTCCAACAGTAACAACACTTAACGGCCGACAATCTTAAAAAAAAAAACATCAATAGACTTCCCAAATGTATTTAAATATGGATGAAGACTATATGAATATAAATATCAAATCCACAGGCCCTACAAACCCCCCCTCCCTCATTGTGAGAGACATCGCCAACCCCATAACGCGTTCAGGGTGGCTCGTACCAGTTTGGTTGCGAGTTTGTTTTGAACGGTTCAGTCTGGTACGCAAGTGTCAAAAGCGGTGAAAACCGAGAACCTTGCCCAAACTTCATCGACCGTATTGTACCGAACCCGCAACAAAAAGTTTGACCTCCCTCAACAAGTGATCGAATGCGTTCGTCCGAATAAATCACATCCACGAGTCCCGCAATTTTCGCAACCCAGGTGTTCTAGATCGCTCTGCTGGTACTAGAGGCGAAAGCTACTCTGCCTGCGCCCCGCCGCGGAGTTGGAATTCCGCGTTCACTAGCTGCATGCTGAGCGCCTAGTACCTACTACGTTTTCCTCCGGTCATCGCCACCGCCTCGTCCATCCATTCGCGTTCCTCCCCCTTGTGCCCATCATGACGACAGTCGCCACACCCCTCATCGACTCCTTCTCGCTGCCCCAACCATCGCCGCCTAATCCTAAGGTCGATCGAATGCACGTTTCCGGGCCTCGGCGCAGCGCCGATCCCCCTGGGTTCCCCCCCTCTCCCCCACTCCCCTCTCCCTCTCCTCCTTCCGCGGAAACGCTTTACAGGATCCGCGAATCAAATACTAGGAACAATAAATCAGAATGTGCGATGATTGACCACTCGCTCTTAACACATAGATCGACGCCCGCTCCCGAGGGCTCAATCACAGTCTCCCACCGCTCCTCGCTCATTGCGTGCCTTCGTCTCCTTCTCAATCGCACCTTCAAGGTACCACCCACAATTCACCTCGTCGCGACTAACCCCGGCGGTGCAACTCTGATCGGAAGCTTCTCGCCATTCCGCTGTCATCACGATCCGCGCCTCCCCGCCTTCCCGTTTCCCCGCGCCGACTCCATTCGGCATGAAGCCCTGCGCGCGCCTGTCCGGCCTGTGTGGCGTCGCCGCACTCGTCGCGGGTCTCGTTGCCATCAGCTTCCTCGCGACCCACGCCAGCGCCGCTGGAAATGGTGAGTCGGCTGATTGGCACACGTAGCATGACACCCACGCCAGCGCCGCTGGAAAGGGTGGGTAGGCTGGCTGCCACACACGCCAGTGGCAGTAGGCTTGTAGTGCTGGCGTGTGGATGCGTGCTGGCGTTTGCGGGAGTGCACAATCATGAGCAGAATCTGTCTTGTTTTAACTCCCTTTCGTACCTTTCTTCTGTGCTGGTGTGTGTGCCTCTTACTCCTACTTGAAACCATCACGATTTCTGTGCAGATCTGTGTGTCAACCTGGATTGTGGGGAAGCTACCTGCACTATTGGTAAAGACGTTGGGGCCTTTTGCGAGTGCAATGGTGGTTTTGAATTCGACAAAGTTCACAAGACGTGTGTGGGTGAGTGCTGGAGTTTGGGGGGGTGCACAAACATAAACAAAATCTATCTTGTTTTAACTCCCTTTCCCTACCTTGCTTCTGTCCTTACTTGACTCAATCGCGATTTCTGTGCAGATCCGTGTCTCAAGATGGATTGTGGGGAAGCTACCTGCAAAATTGATGTGGACTTTGGGGCCAATTGTGTGTGCAAGGATGGTCTTGTATTCGACGAAACCCGCAAGACGTGTGTGGGTGAGTGCTCGTGTGTGGGTGAGTGAGCGCGTGTGGGTGTGTGCTGGTGTGTGGGTGAGTGAGCGCGTGTGGGCGAGTGAGCGTGTGGGTGAGTTCACAGTTTCACCAGCAAAGTTTCACTCATTTCACCCGCTTTCACCTTTTCACCTCCAAACCTCCCATGACTTCCTCTGCAGACCCGTGTGCTGGCGGGGTGTGTGGGCTAGAGGCTTCCTGCTCTGCTCTCGCTCCTACCGAATTCTATTGCTATTGCAACGGCGGTTATTTCTTCAACGAGGCGGACAAGACGTGCTTTCGTGAGTGCTGCACTGCTGAGCTGTAGACACTTCGTTTCTTGAGGCACTTGCATTTTAGCATCTCAGCGTTTCAGCGTTTCAACAGGCTGCACTGAGAGGCGCCCCTGAGAGGCAACGATTGGAACGTTCACCCCTCCTCACTCCTCCCGCACCTTCCCCCCTGTCTTCCCCCTTCCTCTCCTCTCCCCTGTCCTGCTCCAACTCGACGCCTATACCCCCCAATCATCGTCACGCAACCTTGTTGGAACGGCCAGCCCCGCTGGCGCGGACGACGGTGGCGCTGAAGGCAAGAGGCTTCGCTGTGACGGACGCCTCCTTCTTGGCGCCGCTGCCGGCCGAGCAGGCCGCTGGCAGCACCGTGTGCGGTAACCTGGACGTCATGCTCCAAGGCTCCACCAAGATCTCCGTTGTGTGGAATGCCTCCAACCCCGCCTCGCATGGCGACGACGCGCCCAGCAACGCCATGTGCAAAAGCCTGTCGTTCTACGCCGGGTCGTTCTGCAAGGAGAAGCTGGGCTTTACGATTGCGCGACCTGCGAAGAAGGGCAGTTCCTACCCCGTCACGATAAAGTGAGTGAGCGTGATGCACGCGACTGACTTGGTTTGTTCCGCTGTGCTTGCAGCACATGGTGGGACGCACTTCTATCACCAGAATTCGCTTGACCGTCGTAGCTGTAGTGTGAATGGACTGAATGTCCTAACTCGTCCTCACCTTTGCTCTTCCCAACTCTTACCTCTCCCTCTCAGGACTGTCAAGGGAATCCGTTCGCTGTTATCAGTTGGCTGCGAGATCAGTAAGTGCGAGCACATGAACGTTACTCTGGTGTTATTTTCGCTTCATGTAAAGAGTGTCACGCGCACATTAGAGAAGATATCCAACCACACCAGCATGTGCTTTGTTCATTCTGATGAAATCAATGAAACGGGAGAGATACCCTAAGATAGAGCGAGACACTCAAGCTCTTCTTTTTCGTGATTCTGTCAATCGCCTCCCCATGCCTGAAAATCCATTCCCTTCTTCTACATGCCTGGATTGTTTGTCCCTCTGTGGTGCCCTCAACAGCCATGTGTGAGAATGATTGTGGAAGTGCACAGTGCATTGTGAAGGAGGGCAAGCCGCAGTGCCAGTGCCCCGACGGCCTCGTGTTCAACGCCGCTAAGAAGCTCTGCCGCGACCCGTCTCTTGCTCCGTGTAGGCGACCCTAGCTGGATGGACAGGGGCAAGGACGTCGTATCCGGGAGGGGGGAGGGGGGGGAGAGTAGGTGGGGGGGGGTAATGGAGCAGCGGTGGGAGCAACCGCATGCGGTTGCTTGGAGGCTAGGAAACTGTTGCCTGACAGGTTGGCTGGTTCACTTGTGTGGTAGTACTAGAAATGGGATTACCAGTGTGTGTGCTTCCGTGTACAGTAGAATCTACTTATACTCCCTTCAAACGGATTGTTTGCTTTGAAAATGTTACAACGGTATTTATATGTTACCCTGGACGGATGTCTTTTTTTTAAGCCATAGACGACACCAAGTCTTTTAAGTTACTAAGAGTGGTCAGATCAGAATCAGCACATACCGGTACGCAGCTGTGAGTGCACGAAGTTAAGGCAGTACCCAGGTGGCATATCCATGTTGTTTCTCGCTGGAAATCTACTGCAATCCTGCAAAACTCTGTACAGTGGCCCACTCATCAGATGCCTGCTTGCACTTCACTCATCTTCGCCTGCCTCCTGTGATCCCCCCCCTCCCCCTCCCCCACTGCCCCCGTTTGGTGCTCTCCCCTGGTCCCTCACCTTTCCCTTCAACCTTAGAACCAATATCCTTCCCCTCCTTCCTCCCATCTCTATCCTCCTCATCTTCCTCTTCCTCCTCATCCTCATCCTCCTCATCCTCCTCATCCTCCTCCTCCTCATCTTCCTCCTCATCTTCCTCCTCATCCTCCTCTTCCTCCCCTCCTCTACCACCTCTCCCCCACCCAACACCATGATTTGGGTTGCGGAACAGAGGTGCAGCATCTTCATCGGAATCAGAACCTTCTGAGTCGCTTCCGCTGTTGCCTGGAGTGAGAGATGCCCAGGAGAAGGGATTGAAGCGACAGATGAAGGTGCATTCGGATATTTCCAGCTGGGAATTTAAAATGAGGAAGGTACAACTGGTGAAGGTGTAGGGTACGGAATCTCGCAGTAAATCAGGGCGGGTCCAAAAAGTACGTACTCGCAACAGTACCCTACCCAACCATTTTGAATGTTCAATATACCGCTCTGGATTGTACCAAGTTACCAACCAACCCTTCTTCAACCGCATTCAGACGTACTCTCCCGACACGCTCTTACTGAACACGAACTCGCTACCTGGGAAAGGCAAGTCCCATGCACCCTGTGAAGGCACATCTGGTGAAGGCACATCCATGCACCATCTGGGGAAGGCACATCTGTGCATCACCTGGGGAAGGCACATCTGTGCATCACCTGGGGAAGGCACATCTGTGCATCACCTGGGGAAGGCACATCTGTGCATCACCTGGGGAAGGCACATCCGTGCATCACCTGGGGAAGGCACATCCGTGCATCACCTGGGGAAGGCACATCTGTGCATCACCTGGGGAAGGCACATCTGTGCATCACCTGGGGAAGGCACATCTGTGCATCACCTGGGGAAGGCACATCTGTGCATCACCTGGGGAAGGCACATCCGTGCATCACCTGGGGAAGGCACATCCGTGCATCACCTGGGGAAGGCACATCCGTGCATCACCTGGGGAAGGCACATCCGTGCATCACCTGGGGAAGGCACATCTGTGCATCACCTGGGGAAGGCACATCTGTGCATCACCTGGGGAAGGCACATCTGTGCATCACCTGGGGAAGGCACATCCGTGCATCACCTGGGGAAGGCACATCCGTGCATCACCTGGGGAAGGCACATCTGTGCATCACCTGGGGAAGGCACATCTGTGCATCACCTGGGGAAGGCACATCTGTGCATCACCTGGGGAAGGCACATCTGTGCATCATCTGGGGAAGGCACATCCGTGCATCACCTGGGGAAGGCACATCCGTGCATCACCTGGGGAAGGCACATCCGTGCATCACCTGGGGAAGGCACATCCGTGCATCACCTGGGGAAGGCACATCTGTGCATCACCTGGGGAAGGCACATCCGTGCATCACCTGGGGAAGGCACATCCGTGCATCACCTGGGGAAGGCACATCCGTGCATCACCTGGGGAAGGCACATCCGTGCATCACCTGGGGAAGGCACATCCGTGCATCACCTGGGGAAGGCACATCTGTGCATCACCTGGGGAAGGCACATCTGTGCATCACCTGGGGAAGGCACATCCGTGCATCACCTGGGGAAGGCACATCCGTGCATCACCTGGGGAAGGCACATCCGTGCATCACCTGGGGAAGGCACATCCGTGCATCACCTGGGGAAGGCACATCTGTGCATCACCTGGGGAAGGCACATCCGTGCATCACCTGGGGAAGGCACATCCGTGCATCACCTGGGGAAGGCACATCCGTGCATCACCTGGGGAAGGCACATCTGTGCATCACCTGGGGAAGGCACATCTGTGCCGTCATGCCTCGCCTGTGCGAGCTCTGCCTCCCTCTCCATCCACCTGTGCTGCGCCGCTATCACCTCCGCCCCGTCCGCACACGCCGCATACGCCTCCAGCAGCTCACTGCAGGCAAGAGCAGGGGGGGGGGGAAGGAAGGCACACGGAGGGACGAAGGAATACTGATGTGGCTGCTGCACACCTGCCCCATCCGCACACGCCGCATATGTATCCAGCAGCTCACTGCACGCAAGAGCCAGTGGGAGGGAAGGGAAGGGGGTGGTGAAGAGGAAGGAGGCATGCTGAGGCTGACGCCTTTGCCTCCTTTGCACACGCTCCTTTGCACACGCTCCTTTGCACACGCCGCATACTCCACCAACAGCTCGCTGCAGGCAATCTGCGGGAAGGGGTGGGAGGGGCATGAAGGCACAGGGTAGCGCAAGGTAGTAGTGGGTGGCGCAGCGGGAAGGGGTGGGAGGGGCATGTGGCTGTGCCGCGCCTGCCCTGTCCGCACACGCTGCATATGCCTTCAGCAGCTCGCTGCACCGGTGGTGGGAGAGAGAGGGGGTGCGGGAGGAAGGGTTGGGGGATTCGTGCAAGAGATGGAGGGGAGTGAAAGGGGAAGAGTGACGAAAAAAGAGGGATAATAGGGGAGAAAGGGAAGGTTGGGGCGGAGAGGGGAAAGGGCAAAGAGAGCAGATGAGGGACAGGAGGAGATGATGAGTGAAAAGGAAGGGTGAAAGGGGAGGCGTTGAGCAAATTGGAGGGGAAGCGTGGGCAGTTGAGAGAAATGAGTATATGGGGAAAGGAGGAAACAACTCGCCTGTTGAGGGAGAGGAAGGCGTGGCCCCACTTGAAGCGACTGAGCAGCTCCCTGGCAGTTTCCTTGTCCCCACTGGTTGGTGACGGGGGCGGTGCATGGAGAGGGGGGAGTTGCAGGGGGGACATGCATTTAGAAACGAGGCACAACGAATGTGATGGGGATGCAAGCAAGACATCGACATTAACTCATTAAACATACGCACACCAGCTTATGAACGAACCACCAACACGAACCCGCAGGCTCAGGCGTGGAGGGCCCACCATCACCATGTGTACACCTGAGCCTGCGGGTGCACCCCAATACAACCATGAACAGCACCCACCATGTGTGCACTGGCCCACCATCCGCCATGTGAGCATCCCCCTAGACCCACTGTGCGGTGGTGTGCGGTCTGGTACGGTGCACCCACCAGATGTAGAGCGCAGCAGCCATGGCCTCAACGCATGACAGCTGGCAGGGCTTGCCGTAGTTCACTGGGTTGGCCGCCACCAGCCACGGCACTGCACAGGTGGGGTGTTGGGGGTGTGAGTGCAAGTGAAAGCAATGGGAGTGAAATGTAAGACGAGTAAGAGGAGCAAACAGCAACTAGGTCTGCATGTGTTATGCACAAGTTGCAGCCGCGTGTTGACTGACACTGCAGCACCTGCATGGTGCTCCATTGGACTCACACAGCCTGGGGGCGCCGGACTTGAGGGCAGCGAAGGGCACGTCCGCAAGGCGAGCCCAGGAGCAGTCCACCACGGCCAGCCCCTTGGCTGCCAGCAGCGGCGCGTCCGCCCTTGACACCGCCCTCTGCCCCGTTGGACTGGGGGGGGGGGGAGGGGGGGGGAGGGGAGGGGGGGGGAGGGAGCAGGGGGATGGGGGTTATGATGGGGTCATGATGACGAGCCCACGAGCAGTCCACCACAGCCAGGCCAATGGCTGCCAGCATGGCGACTGTCCTTGACCCTGCCCTCTGCCCCGTTGGACTGGAGGAGGAGGGGGGAGGGAGGGAGGGGGGGCCGGGGGGAGAGGCCGAGCAGGGGGCGGGGGGGATGGGATGGGCAGTGTGAGGCGCGCCCGGGAGCAGCACAGCACGGGCAGCCCCTTGGCTGCGAGCAGCACAGCACGGGCAGCCCCTTGGCTGGGAGCAGCACAGCACGGGTTAGCCCCTTGGCTGGGAGCAGCACAGCACGGGTTAGCCCCTTGGCTGGGAGCAGCACAGCACGGGTTAGCCCCTTGGCTGGGAGCAGCACAGCACGGGTTAGCCCCTTGGCTGGGAGCAGCACAGCACGGGTTAGCCCCTTGGCTGGGAGCAGCACAGCACGGGTTAGCCCCTTGGCTGGGAGCAGCACAGCACGGGTTAGCCCCTTGGCTGGGAGCAGCACAGCACGGGTTAGCCCCTTGGCTGGGAGCAGCACAGCACGGGTTAGCCCCTTGGCTGGGAGCAGCACAGCACGGGTTAGCCCCTTGGCTGGGAGCAGCACAGCACGGGTTAGCCCCTTGGCTGGGAGCAGCACAGCACGGGTTAGCCCCTTGGCTGGGAGCAGCACAGCACGGGTTAGCCCCTTGGCTGGGAGCAGCACAGCACGGGTTAGCCCCTTGGCTGGGAGCAGCACAGCACGGGCAGCCCCTTGGCTGGGAGCAGCCGCGGAGGGGGGAGGTGGGGTGGGCTGCCCAGGAGCGAGCGATCCGTTGCGGCATGGGGGGCTGCTGGCAGGAGTTCGCCGGCATGGGACACAGCTATCGGGACTGGAAGATGAGGTGTGGGGGATACGGTGAGATTGGAAAGCAGAACGATGCATGAGTGAGGGGTGCACGGTGAGGGGTGTGACAAGGCTGAGGACAGTCCAGCACGGCCACCTTGCGTCGCGCACACGGGCTTCTGAGAACTCTCCAAGCCATGCCCCGAGCCCGCCTTTGAGCCAGATGGGCCCAATCGATTCTGAGAGTGCTGCTTACCCCTCACCCACTCACCCACCTGAGGCAGATGCCCCCAAAGCGCTGCTGCACGCGCATCTCCCGAATGAGCCTCAGGCGCAGCAGCTTGCGCCCCGTGCACCGCTTGCTGTCACACTGCCCAAAGTCCTGTGCGTGGGGAGGGAGGTAGGGGGTGGTGAGCGCCAGGATGAGCTGAGGGCACGCGCACATGTACGCACACATGCGCACACATGCACACACAGGGGAAGCGAGCTTAATCCATCGGGCTGCATACTGCTACTTGGCTGCAGTATCAGCAGCAGCAGAGACCAGATGCATCTCCGAATAGCGGTACTACCCATGTGTTACCAGCCGCCAGCGTATTGCAAGTCAGTCACAGAGAGCAGGTGAGCTTCGCCTTAGCCAGTCTTGACGTATGCCCTCACCAGACCTGAGTAGGCTTGTATCAAGACACAAAAACCTAGGCTGCATGAGCCTTAGACCGCCCCAACATGGCCAGCTCACCCACATGGCCAGCTCACCCACATGGCGAGGTCCATGGGCGGCTTGTATGGCTTGGCGTCTTCAGATGGGCGCGATGATAGCTCTGTGAGAGCAGAGCGGGCGCAGGGTGGGGAGGGAGGGCTTTGCTTTTAAGGTGCCTCAAAAGACGTCTCTTGTAGGGCTTGGGTCCCCACCCCAGATGGCCGCGACGAGAGCCCTCTGAGAGCAGGGCGGGGGAAGGGTGGGATGGGAAGGGTGGGATGGGTCTAGCATGAGTGGGAACGGATGGCGTGGCATGGTGTGGCATGGCGTGGGTGGGAAGGGATGGGGTGGTATGGAATGACATGGGATGAAAAGGTGTGGCATGGTATGGCACGATATGGCATGGTACGGCACGGTATGGTATGGCATGGTATGGCACGGTACGGTATGGCATGGAATGGTATGGCATGGTATGGCACGTCTCAAGATGGTATTTGACTCGATGACTTGACTTGCCTGGAAAAGTGAATAAGAAGCAAAGAGGGAGGGAGGGAGGCAGGGCGAGAAGCAGGGCGTGGAGGGAATGGCAACCCATGGCATGTGCAAAATGCTTGCAAGGGATGCACTGATAAGTGTGATGAGTGGGATGGATGGGCCGAGTCCGAGTGTGGTGGGTGGGGCGCGTGGGGATGAGGAGGGGAGGGAAAGGCATGGAGAACATGCGCTCAGCTTCCATAAGAATCACAGGGCACAGGGTGCGTGATGCACGGGCGAGGCGGTTGAGGAGGAGTTAAAAGGGGGAGGGAAGGAGGAGCGAGGGGGAAGGACTAGAAATGGAGAATCTCAGAGGCGTTGGGAATCAGTCGCGCAGGAAGAGGCAAATTACAACATTAGCGAACTTAGAGCCAGGGTCTCACGTACTACAAGTGTTTTGCAGTTGGTGGTGAAAGTTTGGCTGTGATTGGTTGGCGAGGTGTAAGGGGTGAAGTGGGTTGAAGCGAGGGGTGCGAAGCGAACGCAAATCGCTGGGTGTACCAAACCTCCTAGGCTTGGAAACTTGGTTTGGAGCCAAACCTAAAATGCCCCCAACTCATCAAAGTCACAAGTACCCAAAATTGTTTTGCAATCGCAAGCTGAGTCTCCGGAACTTCGTTGCACTAACTAGGTTACCTAGCTTCAACTGTTTTGCCTAGCTTCGTTGGATGGCTCCTTAGCTTACGTGAGACCCTGGCTTTAAGTCTCACCATCCGTCTCTTCCCGCCTCCCACCCCTCCTCGGGCTTCCTGCCTCCTCTGCTGCACTGCTGCCCGCCCTGTGGTCGCTGCGGACGAAAGGAAGAAAGGCGATGGGAGAGGGGGGTGGGTGATGAGGGAGAGGGCCGATCATGAGGGGGCGATGGGAGAGAAGGGCGATGGGAGAAGGGAAATAGGAGGAGGGAAGTCAAGACTGCTTTGTTATGTGGAGGAATGGGAGGGGAAAGGGGAGGAAAAGGGGGAGCAGGGGGGTTGCAGCGCGGCGGAAGACCAGTTACCTAAACGGCGCACCGTACCTGTGGGCGAACCCGAACCTGTTCGGCGAACCCGTATCTGTCGGCGAACCCGAACCTGTCAACGGCTGTACTTCCCTGCCTCTCGCCCGTCGCCGCCGTTCCCCTCGTTACCTGGATCCGCACGACCGCCGGGCCCCGCCGTCTCTTCTTCCCCGCCCCATCGCCCCGCCGTGAGCCGAAGCGCAGAAAAGCGCGCAGTGACCTGCTCGATCGACGATGGAAGTAACTGGGGTGAGTCACAGACAGCCACAGTGACGACGATCTACGAGGGCAAAATCACGGAGACATCCTCGAAAATACATCTCAACGAGAATATGGGACTATTTCGACCTTCGGCGAGTAACCGTGCGTCCAGACGAAAACATCTAGACGCGGAATTAGGGCGTGTAAAATCCCCGCAAATATGCAAAATTTGCTTTTGGCGGGAATATCCCAGCGGAAACGGGTCGTCAAGCCTGACGACCTGTTGACGACCTGACGACATGCTGGCCCGGGCAGAAAAAAACTAAAACCCTATCGGATGGCATGCCATCCGAGGGAGGCATCAACCCTAAATCCATGCCTCCCCGTGTTTAGGGTTGATGCCTCCCTGACCGGATGCATGCCCGAATGGGTTTTATTTTTTTTGCCCGCGAGCAGCGAGCTCCCCCGGGCGGACTCGCTTGTCCGCTGAGATATATCAACCGGTTTTACGTCGACCATTTTGGTCGACATTTCTTTCGCGAAAGTCGACGGATTGGTCTACTTCTTGTCGTCACATTTACAGCCACTATTTGCAGATTTGCAAAATTGAAAAATTTGAGGGCCGAATTCCAGGCCGGTTTCAAAAAGTTGAAAATTTTACAGTTGCTTCAGTAGGAACATATGAGCGACGGGGTCGCACATTTGACGGCGAAATCTCTGATTTGACAGGATAAAAAATTATGTCGTTCTGCGAGACCGTGCGACGTCGCACGTGACAGTCGCTCACAGTGTCGACTACTTGGCCGAATTGGAGTCGACATGGTGTCGGATACGAGTCGAGTTTCAAAACGGCCATCAATTTCGTTTTCTACTGGCGAAATTCGCGACGGTCGCGAGCGTCTTTGTTGTTTTCGCAAGCGAGTTACTTTCGCCAATTCGGCCATTCGGCTTGTGGCCGATTTTTTAGTTGCGGCGATTTTACACCTCTTATGAGAGGTGTAGTAATGATTGGCGGTCGTCCAGTAGAGTTCGCCACCTGGCTCGACGACCTGCAACTGTTCCTCCTGACTGATGCCAAGGGCGGTGTTTCCCTGTTCGATTACGTGTCTGGCACTGCCTTTGCTCCTGCTGACACTGAGCCTGCTCTAGCCCGCTCCCAGTGGCAGACCCGCGATGCTGCTGCGCGCCTAGCTATTCGCAACCATCTGCCGATCACAGAGCGCGCGCATTTTAGCCAGCACAAGACTGCCAAGGCACTGTACGACGCTGTAGTTGCCCGCTACTCTTCCCCGGCCACTGCAGCCCTCGCTCGACTTATGCTACCCTACCTGTTCCCCGACCTGTCCTCGTTTACCACCGCTGAGGACCTCCTCTCTCACCTACGCGCTAGTGACACTCGCCTTCGTGCCGCCCTTCTAGCCGAGTTCCTCGCAGAGAACCACCCCCCGATGTACTTTACTCTCTACTTCCTCATCACCCGCCTCCCTGACACTCTTTGCTCAGTCAGGGACCACTTCCTCGCCCTTGACCCCCATTCTCTCACTGTCGACGACCTCGAGAAGCACCTCCTAGCAGCCGAGAAGAACATTCTAGCTGTAGGTGCTGCTCGTGGTACTCCCCGCACTCCCCTCTTTGAGGGGTGCTCCCCCTCCCCTCTTACCCCCTCCTACGCCTCCGCAGCTGCTGCTGTCGACCTCCTTGGTGCTGAAAAGGTCGCAGCTGTTTCCGCTCCGAGTGGGAAGCGCAGCGGCTTCAGGGCGGGCAAGGGTGGCAGGGGTGGCGGACGTGGCGGTGGAGGGGGCAGTGGTGGAGGCGGCGGGGGCGGTGGAGGTGGTGGCGGTGGTCGTGAGGGTGGAGGTAGTGGTGGGGGCGGTGGTGGTGCCGGGAGCAGTGGCGGTGGCGGCGGCGGGGGCGGCGGAGGGGGGAGTGGTGGTGGCGGCGGTGGTGGGGGCTTGGGTGACACCAGTGGTGGCAAGGGGCAGCAGCAGCAGCAGCAGCAGCAGCAGCAGCAACAGGGTCAGCGCCGGACCCCCACTTCCCAGCAGCTTCTTGACTGGTATGCCGGGCGTGGGGCGTCTGGGGGTCCTGGTCGCTGCCCCTATATCATTCGCACAGGTCCCCGCGCTGGTCGCCAGTGCACAGGGTTTCACACTGAGTACCGCTGCTTCGCTCGGCTTAGCGACGCCTGGCGCGTCAAGTTTCCTGATGCTACTGAGTTCCCCAACTGGGCAGACCTGCTTAGGCGTGATGTACCTATCTTTGATCTTGACTATGAGGCTATTCTTGCTGCCATGTATGCATTGACTGTTAGTGCTGAGGGTGACTGCTACTTGTGTGTGCCGCCTGACCCCGGTATAGCCCCAGGTATAGCGCCTGTGGCACTAGGTGCTTGTGAGTCTGCTCCCCCTGGTACTGCGTCCGCACAGGCCTTGCACACCTTCACACTTGACTCTGGTGCTTCCCGCTGTTTCTTTCGCGACAGCACCACAATCACTCCCCTCCCTGCACCTGATCCTGACTCACTGGCTGACCCCTCTTGGGGCCCAGTGCTTGCACGGTCTTCCACTGTGCTTCCGTGTCCGGCGGTCCCGTCTGGTGAGCTGTCTGGTCTCCACCTCCCCTCGTTCTCTACGAACTTGGTGAGCAACGCCGTCCTTCAGGATCACTGGGTTGACACCTTTACTCCTGGAGGACAGCGTGTGGCGATCTGCACGTGCTCCCGGACCGGCCGTCACCTGGCCACGTTCACACGTGCGCCTGGGTCCAGTCTGTACACCCTCACCACTGCGTCACGCTACACCCCTTTGTCTCCCCGGCTGTATGCGTCTGCTCAGGTAGCTACCCAGTGTGAGTGTCGCCGGCTGTCGCACGACACTCTCCTGTGGCACCACCGCCTTGGTCACCCCTCCCTGCCTCGCCTTCGTAGCATGCACTCTCGCTTCCTGGTCTCTGGCCTTCCCACGTCTCTGCCTGCCCTCCCTCCCTCGCCTGCGCCGCCCTGCATTCCTTGCGTCGAGGGGCGGAAGCACGCCGCTCCTCACTCCTCCTCGTTCCCTCCCACAGAAGCTCCACTGCAGACTCTCCACCTGGACGTGTGGGGCCCAGCCCGCGTCCGTGGACAGGGCCACGAGCGGTACTTCCTGCTGGTCGTCGACGACTACACGCGTTACACCACGGTCTTCCCCTTGCAGCGCAAGGGGGAGGTCCCTGATGTTTTGATCCCCTGGATCCGCGTTGTTCGTCTCCAGCTCCGCGAGCGGTTCCACTCGGACTTTCCTGTCCTGCGTCTGCACTCTGACAGGGGTGGTGAGTTCTCCTCAGACCTCTTGGCAGCCTTCTGTGCGGAGCACGGCATCCGCCAGACGTTCACGCTTCCGGCCTCTCCGCAGCAGAATGGGGTTGCTGAGCGCCGCATTGGCTTAGTCATGGAGGTCGCTCGTACCTCCATGATCCATGCGGCTGCCCCACATTTTCTGTGGCCGTTTGCGGTCCAGTACGCCGCGCATCAGCTCATCCTTTGGCCCCGTGTCTCCTTGCCGGAGACCTCACCCACACTGCTGTGGACGGGGAAGGTTGGCGATGCGTCGCGTTTCCGGGTCTGGGGTGCTCGTGCCTTTGTCCGCGATACCACCGCGGACAAGCTCTCCGCTCGCGCCATTCCCTGCGTCTTCCTTGGCTTTGTCCCTGACGCGCCTGGCTGGCAGTTTTACGACCCCGCCTCGCACCGTGTCTTTCCGTCTCAGGACGTCACCTTTGACGAGTCCGTCCCCTTTTACCGTCTCTTTCCCTACAGCACTGCCCCTCGCCCCCCCCCGCCGCTCTTTCTCGCCCCAGGTCCTCCCCAGGTGGACCCCCTCCCCGCGCCAGGTCCTGCTCCTTCAGGTGTTTCTCAGGTAGACCCTCCCGTGACTGTGCCTGTTGAGGTCACTGGTGACTCAGGTCCTGCTGGGGGTGGTGCTGTCTTTGGGGGTGCTGGGCCTGGGGGTGCGGAGCGTGGGGGTGCGGATCTTGGGAGTGCTGAGCTTGGGGGTGCGGATCTTGGGGGTACTGAGCCTGGGGGTGCGGAGCCTGCGCGTGAGGACCCAGGAGGTGCTGAGCCAGGGGGTGCGGAGTCTGGGGGTGCTGAGCCTGAGCGTGAGGAGCCTGGAGGTCCTGAGCCTGGGGGTGCTGTGTCTGGAGGTGCTGAGCCCGAGCGTGAGGAGCCTGGGGGTACTGAGTCTGGGGGTGCGACACCTGAGGGTTCTGAGTCTGCTGCTGCGCGGTCTCCTTGGAGTAGCCGCCTTCGTCCGCATATGCCTCTCACCTCACAGCAGCTGCACGACTGGTACGGTCGCCGTCAGGGTCGCGCTTCTGGAGCTCGGGGCTCTGCCGCTGGAGGTACTTCTGCTGACGTCACTAGAGCTGGGAGTGGTACTGGTCCCGGAGGTGCTCGTACTGGAGGTACTGGAGCTGCTGGGGCTGGAGGTGCTGCTGAGCCTGAGGGTGCTACTGCTGGAGACCCTGGGTCTGGGGGTGCTGCTGCTGGAGACACTGAGGCTGGAGACCCTGGGACTGGAGGTGCCGGTTCTGGGGGTGCTGCTGTTGGTGGAGCTGGTCCTGGAGGAGTTGGCGCTGAGGGTTCTGGGGCTGCTCGAGGTGCTGGAGCTGCTGGGGGAACTGGAGCTGCTGGTGCTGGTGTCACTGCACAGCCGCGCCTGTTCTTTGCTCCACCGTCTCCGTCGTCTCAGCCACCGCCTGACTCTGTACTTCGCCAGGTTCTTAGTCTCCCTTCGTCTACTGGCCTTCCGTTACAGCCTGGCTCACAGCTGCCTTCTCCTTCTCCTTACACTGAGCAGACAGGGTGTCTTACTGAGCGTCGTGAGCCTGCGTCGCGTCCTGTCTCGCCTATCCGTTCTGGTCGTTCCGGTCGTCGTGTTCCTCGTCCGAGTCAGCCGGCTGTCTCAGACACCCACCTCGTAGTCCGTCGTCTTTCCTCTCCTCCACAGCGTGTTCCTCTGCCGTCTCCTCTGCCTGTCGTTGCGGACCCTGAGTCTGACCGGTTTCGTGCTGAGCACCCTACTATCACGCGTCTGCTAGCCACTGTTGTCACTGACCCGTCGTTTGAGTCTGCTGCTGCGTCTGCCTTTGTCGCTGAGCTGGTTGACTTTACTGCTGCCTGTCATCTAGACTACGCTGCTAGTCTTGTTGCCGAGTCTAAGTCTGTCTGTCCTCCGTCCGTCGGGGGTGAGTGTGCTCTTGGCACGGACGTCCTTGAGGACAGACAGGAGGACCTTGAGTGTCTTGCGGCCGCTGCGCCTCATCTCGTGGCCATGCTGCTTGCCCCTGAGGGAGACCCGGATGCACCAGACATCCCGACCCCGCGCTCTTACGCTGAGGCGATCGCGGGTGAGTACTCCTCTCAGTGGCAGACAGCCATGGATGCAGAGATGGCATCCTGGAAGTCCACAGGCACCTACTTCGACGAGGTTCCCCCTCCTGGGGCGAACATCGTCGACGGCATGTGGATTTTCAGGGTGAAGCGGCCGCCAGGTTCTCCGCCTGTCTTCAAGGCTCGTTACGTTGCTCGAGGCTTCAGTCAGCGGGAGGGAGTTGACTTCTTCCATACTTTCTCCCGCACCCTGAAGATGACCACTCTTGGGTTTGCTCCTTCGACTGCTGACCCGTCGCTGTTTCTGCGCACCGACACTTCGCTGCCGCCGTTCTACATCCTCGTGTACGTTGACGTCTTGGTCTTTGCCACTACTGACACTGAGGCTCTCGCCCTGGTGAAGTCGGAGCTGGGTGAGCTGCGCAGTTACCTTGGCTTGCAGATCACCCGGGACAGAGCACGCCGCACCATCACACTGACTCAGTCACACATGGTGCAGCAGGTCCTTCAGCGCTTCGGCTTCACCTGGTCCTCGGCACAGGCCACTCCTCTGGCTACAGGTCACTCACTCTCAGC